ACCTCTAACACATGGGCTGGAGCGCAATATTGTCACACCTGTACGGTCCAGTACTGTCTTTAAAAGATCCTTTTCAAAGAAAGAAGACACTTATCCCACGCTGTGATTGAATTTGAACCTCCAACATTGGAGACATAAGTTTTGGGTATTAATTAATCTTTGAAATCATTATGATTAATTAATCTCGTTAATTACCACTAAACATGCACAACCACAAAGCGAATAATAGATTAGGATAGAATCAATTCAAAGCGTTAATCAAGTTTATTCCAAGAATATAATTTATTTAAATTTTAAACTATGGTTTAATTAAATATAATGATGGTGCCACAAACAATTGAAGGGTCCACTAGGTGAGTGGTTGAGGCACAGCACATTATGGAAACTTCCAACCAAATTTTGGGATATTTTCATACCCCAAATTAAAATAATAATAATAATATTATTATTATTATAGTATATAGTTGCTGGCACCACCACATGTCACACATATATATCTTACCAACTTAATAATACTAATATTTATTTTTTTAATTAAAAAAAATGATTTTGTTTAAAAGTATATGAATAATGTAAATTATTTATTTGTAATGATTTTGACTCAATATTGTTCTTTAAAACAATAATTTAATAATGTGGCATCTTTGATATAAAGTCAAGCAATTTGGTAATAAAGCATCCAAACTCTCAACTTGTCAACTTTAGGTTATCAAATAAACGTTACTTTAGGTCAAAAGCAACATTATTCAACTTCCATTTCCATTTTATTTTTCATATTTCGATTCCAGAATAATTTAAACCATTAGATTTTGTCTCCCAATTTAATACGCCTTTCAATTTAGCCATATCTTCTATTGATTTGATTTTAAATTCACTCATCGTTACCGGATATTATCCGTTTTAGCATCTTACATATCGTCACGTTACTTTAGGTCTAGTGTCTTCATTGGCTCACAGTCCAGTGTCTAGCTCTCATACCACTGTAACAGTCAAAGCCCACCACTAATAGATATTGTCCGCTTTAACTTGTTACGTATTGTTGTTAGCCTCATGATTTTAAACATGTTACACCCTTATAAGCAATCCTTCATTCTCCTCTCCAACCAATGTGAGATCTTAGAGTTCCCAGTGTCCTCACTGGCTCGTCACATGGTGTCTGGCTTTGATACCACTAGAATAGTCCGAGCCTACCACTAGTAGATATTGTCCACTTTAGCCTGTTAAGTATTGTCGTCAACCTCATGATTTTAAAACATGTTTACTAGGAAGAGGTTTCTACACCATTATAAGTAATGCTTCATTCCCCTCTCCAACTAATGTGGGAGTCCTCACTAGCTCATCACATGGTGTGTGGCTTTGATAACACTATAACAGTCAAGTCCACCGTTAGCAGATATTGTCCACCTTAGCCTGTTATATTTGTTGTCAGTCTCATGATTTTAAAACATGTTCACTAGGGAGAAAGCCTACCGCTAGCCGATATTGTCCGCCTTAGCCTATTACGTATTGACGTCAGTCTCATGATTTTAAAACATGTTCACTAGGGAGAGGTTTCTACACCCTTATAAGCAATACTTCATTCCCTTCTCCAACCAACGTGGGATCTTAGGGTGTCCAGTGTCCTCACTAACTCATCACATGATATCTAGCTCTGATACCACTATAACAATCCAAGCCTACTGCTACCAAATATTGTCTATTTTAGCTCGTTACGTATCGCTATCAGCCATACAATTTTAAAATGCATTTATTTATATAGTTTTTGGTATAATTTAAATTATTATTGATAGATCTAGATCCATGATTACGATAGGCATAAGGGATTATTTGGGGGGACAAACTTGTGGGTCAAGCTTTATTGTGTAGACCTACATAGCTTTGTTTGCCTCTTTTTGCAATTGAAGATGCTTACGAAGTCAAACAAGTTTGGGTTTGATGACAACAAATCATGTCTCCTTACTTTAGGGATTCACCAAATTTAAGTAATACAACCAATGTGACTAAACATGACTTTACTTTATTTATTTGCTTTCACATTTATTCATATATACATATTCTTCTCCCAATCACATTCTTTTCTTTTCTTTTCTAAACCCACAAAAATCTCCTACTAAAATAAAATAATCGTATAATTAAATTAGATCGTTGCTTAATAGTTATGTCGTTTATAACCAAGACTAACAAAGTTATGGTTAGAGGTGTCCACGGGTTTGCTTGGAAAAAAATCTTTTGAACCAACTTGAAATTTCGGGTTGGTTGGGTTGTTAACCCGAGCGATAAGAATAGAGTTCATAATCCGACCAAACCCTCTCCCTATTATTCAGGTTGGGTTGGAATTGTCGAGCTATTCTTTTATAAATATAAACCCTACTTCTCTACAATATATGTTTCGCTGACATAGTTACAAATTTCAAATAATGTAAGGTAAGATTTGGTTGTAACCCTATTTTCGAGTTGGTTGGCTTGACCTAACAAAAAAAAATGACAACCAGCAAACCGACCTGAATTTTCAATTTTTCAAAAATTCAACTCAGCCCAGATAAAAAATTAAAAAAAAAAATCAATCCAACTTTTATGATTTGGGTCAAGTAATTGAGACAGTGAGATCTCACAGTTGGACTTGCTCTCTTATATAAAGATACGCAATGAGTCAAAACGGGCAATATCTACTAACAGTGGACTTGCTCTCTTATATAAAGATACGCAATGAGTCAAAACGGGCAATATCTACTAACAGTGGACTTGGCCTCTTATATAAGAATACGCAACGAGTCAAAACGAACAATATCTACAAGCGGTGGACTTGGTCTCTGATATAAAGATACGCAACGAGTCAAAACGGACAATATCTACTAACAGTGGACTTGGTCTCTTATATAAAGATACGCAATGAGTCAAAACGGGCAATATCTACTAACAGTGGACTTGGCCTCTCATATAAGAATACGCAACGAGTCAAAACGAACAATATCTACCAGCGGTAGACTTGATCTCTTATATAGATTAATCAAGTTCTCGAATTATTTAAACACGTATACCTATAGCTTCAATCTCAAGTGGTGTAGTAAGATTAATTTAAGATTAAGATAAGAAAGTATAATTAAAAGGTGGTATACGGTGAAGTTGGTTCTAAACCAATAGCTTTCTTCGTTTAGCAAAAGTTATTGAACTTATAAAATTAATAATATATTAGCCTCCTTCTGACATAATCCCAGCAATGCCGTAATTACCAAGAACTTTGTTTTTTTTTTTTTTTTTTTAAATAAATATATAAATATTTATTTTAATATCCCTAATTTTGAAATTAGGTTTTAATTATATTAATAATCTGGTGAGAGCATGAATCTCCCCACCCCCTCCTTGATTACATAAACATTAGCATTAAAAGAATGAGAGCAATAATCGAAGAACATGGGTTAATATTTAATTAAATTTAATTAATAATTTCTCGAATTAATATTTTTTTTTATTACGTATGGATCTTTCCAGTCTCGCTTCAACTTGTTTATTTTTTTAATTAATTTCGTCGCTTTCGAAATCATAATCATAATCATAATTAAATAAATAAACCGTGTCACGAATAATTAACATAGTTTATGTATATTTTAGCTGGCCTGCTTTTTTTTTTTTTTAATTAAAAAATTCGTGTCTGTCTTTGTCTCTCTCTAAGGAACTCATATAATTTAATTAAATTTATTTTAATGTGAATTGATAATTAAAAAAAAAAAACCAAAGAAACAAGCTCCCCCACGCATGCTGCCAATTGTGTTATTGCCCATGTGAATTAAACACTAATTTAATATTAAGTGCATCATATTTGGATCCATTCATCTCCTTTTATTTTATTTTATTTTATTTTTTTGAAAAATTAAAAAAAATATATATAGATGGACTAAGTTATTATATTTTATGTACTAAAATTTTTAAAAAATAAAAATTTATGGATGTAATAAATGCCTTATAAGATTAAAACTTTTTTTTTTTTAAAAAAAAGGGAAAATTAATTATAAAGGTAGAAATAATAGTCTATTCTAATTTTTTTTTTAAACTATGAGTGAAAAAGAAAAAAAAAAGGTAATGATGGGTTGTTTAAAGCATCAATAAATAAAAGAGACAAAATGAAAAAGAAAAAAAATAATAAATAAAGAGCATAAATGAATCCCGAAAAACAATGAGATTATATTTTTATCTCTGGCTCGGATACCATGTTAAGAACCAGAATCCTCCACAATGGTACAATATTGTCCACTTTGAGTATAAACGGAAACGTGGGATTACTACTCTAAATAATCCTCACACTTTGAGTATAAACGGGAACGTGGGATTACTACTCTAAATAATCCTCACAACAATACTCCCCTCGAATAAAGTACATCATAGAGTCTCACGACTCTCCATAATGATATGATATTGTCCTCTTTGAGTATAAGCTCTCATGACTTTGCTTTGAGCTTCCCCTAAAAGACCACCTACCAATGGAGATAGTTTAGTATTTCTCATTTATAAACCCATGATCTTCCACTAAATTAATCAACGTGGGACTCACGCTCAATAATCCTCAACAAGAGCCTCACCTGAAAGCATTCTGCTCGCTCTAATACTATGTTATAGGAACAATAGTATAATATTATCCACTTTGAGCATAAACGCCAGGGATTTTACTTCCTTATAATCTTATGATCTTTCTCTTATTTAGCTTCGATTTTTATTTCTTCGAAAAGTCTCGTACAAATAAAAATAATATTACTTACTTATCTCGAGGTTTGAGCGGAATTATATATTTGAATAAAGGGAGGAGTTTCCTAGGAAGAAAATGAAATGGGTATGGCAAAATTGTGGTTAATGAACAGTCAAAAACAGAGTAAGTACAGCTCCGAACAGAGTGCACCAATTTTCCATTGAAACACAGCTTGTCGTGTTGTTCATAGCTTAGAATTACAGGCTTTATATTAATGTCCAAATCCAAATCCAAATCCCAAACTCGAAACAGAGACCCAAATAATCTTATTAAATAAACAAACAATGGAGTGAGTCCATCTGCAACTAGCCAACAACTCACGAGGCCCCCATTAACGCAAAGCTCCTCTTCTTTTCTCTCTCTATATAACCCCCTTCATCCTCCTCTCTCTCTCCTCATCTTTTCTTTCCTCTCTCACAACAATGGCCTCTAAACGCGACAGAGATGAACCCGCCGGAGCCGACGAGATCAACGAGCTTAAGCGCCAAAAATCCTACACCCAAATTCTCTCTCTTTTAGACGAAGACGAAGAGGAACCCATTCATGATTTATCCTCCATTATCACCACTCTTCAACAAGAAATCTCCTCGCCGTCGTCGCCTCAAAACACCGCCGACGCCGTGACCACCGCCACCCACGACTCTGTTTCTACCTCTTCCTCCTCTGTAACTTCTTCCGACTCTGTCAAAGAAACAGAGGAAGAAGGGGAAAGTGAGAGGGTTATGAGACATCTCCTCCAAGCTTCCGACGACGAGCTGGGGATTCCGGCCGGGGAGTTCTTGGTCGGTGACGGCGTTAATGGTGTGCTGCCGTTCTGTGATGCGTTCTGGGAATTGGAAGATGAGGCTGCTAATTACTATACTCTGTTTCAATCCCAGCTGTTTATGTAGCCTTCAGCCCTTCTTCATTTAATTCAATTATAGAAATATATTTAAAATGTTAGAATTTCAACACGAAAATGAAAAAAATGTGTTCCAAGTTCATCATCGTCTCTGATCTCTGCGTCTGTAATGGAAGGAATTTGTGGAAGACATTTTCGGACATTGATTGCAGGTGTTGATGCGGTTAGTGGTGATTAATTATTTCCACCCACTACTAATTTTTAACATATTTTAATTACTTTAATATTAAAATTTATTTTTCATTTCATTAAGGTCTAATTAGTAATTTCATTTTCTTTCCTTATCATATAATTTAATATTTGTCACGTCTCTCCATTAAATTGGATTTATTTTTTCTTTATTCGTCAAATTAACTTGAAAATTAAAATAATTGTTAAGTATCTTGACTGATTCCTCCACTTGCAATTTTTTTTTTAAAATAAAAATATCCAATAAAAATGGGTTAAGATTATTGGACATGTCCACCTCATTGGGACACGACGAAAGACGTTCTCCATTTTCATCTTCACCTCTTTTTGGTTCGGGTTCTTCACAAAATTTTTAAGGTGGGGAATTTTCTGAGTGAATGCACGAGGATCAAGTATAAGATCCCGTGTCGGTTGGAGAGGAGAACGAAACATTCTTTACAAGGGTGTGGAAACATTTATGTGGTATATGCATTTTAAAACTGTGAGGCTGACTGCAAAATGTAACAGGCCAAAGTAGACAATATTCGCTAGTGGTGGGTTTGGGCTGTTACAAATAGTATTAGAGCCAGACGTTGTGCAGTGTGACAACAAAGACACTGGGCGAAGGGGGTAGATTGTGAGGTCCGGAGAGGGAAACATCATCCCCTTTAAGGGTGTGGAAACCTATTTTTAGTAGACATATTTTAAAACTTGAAGTAAAAGTCTAAAGAGCATAATATATGTTAATGGTGGGCTTGGGCTGTTCTAAATGTGAGGAAACACATCGATTAGAGAGGGGAACACACATTCCTCGAGTGTGGGAACCTCTCCCTAGTAAATACCTTTTAGAACCTTAAAGGGAAGCCCTTCAAGGGAACGTCCGAAGAGGATACTGCTTGTGCTGTTACATTGGTGAGGTCCCACGTCGGTGAGAGAGGGGAACACACCTTCCTTATAAGAGTGTAGGAACCTCTCAATAATAGACACGTTCTAGAACTTTAAAGGGAAAGCCCAAAAAGAATAGTATCTCTTATTGATGGACTGAAGCTTTTACAAATTGTATTAGAGCCAATCACAGAACGGTGTGATGCATTGGTCGGAGTAAGGCTAAATCATTTTCATAGTAGACGCGTTTTAAAATTTTAAAGGGAAGCCGTTGAAGAGAAAACCTAAAGAGGACATTATCTGCTAATAGTAGATTGGGCTGTCACAAATGATATTAAAGTCAAGTCATCAGACTTTGTGATGTACCGGTCAGAATAGGGCTAAACTCTCTCATGTTTGTCACCCGACTGTTCGATGCACTGGTCTGAGTAGGGCTAAACTCTCTCTACAATAGACATGTTTTAAAATTGTGAGTCTGACGACGATACATAATAAGTAAAAATGAATAAATACGTGCTAGTGATTGGCTTAGGCTCGAGATCGGACGTGGGAAGGGGAAAATAGTGTTGTTTTTGGACGCCTGCAAAGAGGGGAAATATGATTACATTAAATATGTAAAGAGAAGAAGAGAAGAAGAGGAAAAAAAAAAAAGTGGTGGAGGAGGAGATCTGAATTCTGAAAGTAAATGGGAAGGGCAGGGGGCAGGGGGCAGGGGCAGGGGCAATTATCAGGTGTGTGAGTGAGCACGGTATTGAGGTAGAGGAAGGAAATAATGTCCAGCCCTTTTCTTTTCTTTTCTTTTCTTTTCTTTTTTTTAATGAAATAAAATATAATTTAGGGTTTGGGGGAATTTAAATTAATTAATATTAAAATGAGAGAGGAAATTAAGTGGCGGAGAAGGAAGGCGGGGGTAATAGGATAAGGATGTGGGGGCCAACTCTTAAATCTATATCTCTATTATAATATTATAAATAATAGTAATAATAATGATAATAATAATAATAATAATGCATATTGTGACGTTAATGTCCAGTCCTCGTTACATATTTTCATGTCTGCCACTGCCCTCTCCGGACTACCTCCACCTTCCCCTATTATCTCTCTTTTAGATTAAGTTCTAAATAAATGTTATTTTTGTTGAAAAAATTTATAATCTAAAAAGTATCTGAGTCAACCCACGAAAACTTCTAGAGAGTTTTGTAGATCTAATATAATTTATTAGTTCATATTGTTACAAACTTTTCTTAATAAATGTAATTTAACGTCTTCCCAATTATTATTATTATTATTTCATAAAATCATATTTCTCCAAACATATCACAAAAATCATAGATTGCTTTCACAAACAAGTGGACAAGAATGTTTGGAAAACATATCTAAAAACAAACTTGAGCTGAATCTTATTCGTTTGGAAACAAATATACCGTACAAATATAATATCCAAGTTTTGCCTACATTATTGTTTGATCGGTCAACTTAATAGCCTCTTTCATCATTGGAGAAATTATTGAAGCTGACAGTTTCTTTTATCATTGATTATGTGCCTGAATGATTATAAGTTCATCAATTTTATATCCAATTATTACATGGCATATCCCAATGTTATTTGGGTCACTATGGTAGAACACCCTTACTCTTGAAACAAAACTCAAACAAAGAGGACGAAGCAAATTCATCAAGTAGAATTATTGTTGAAAATTAAAAACTTAATAGAAGGGCCCCAAAGAGACAATCCAACAATTTCATTTCAAGTCCTTACCTTTACTAAATATTAAAATAACGAAGGAAAACTAAGGAAAAGACTAAAAGATTAGGTGCAAAACAATTTGGTCTATCAAATAATTGGCACGAACAGAATTTATGTTATTGGGCCATTCAACCATAAGGATAACTTCAATATTTTCATTATCATTGCAATATAATCATCATGACTTCAACAGATCACATAATCATCTTTTTGACCTTTCATTTCCCAATAAATCCAAGGGTTTCTTTATTTCAGTATCCCACCAAGACTTGGGATAAGTAGAGAATAGATCAGTATTTGTAAGAGTAAAATAAGCACATCTTGTTATTGACACATGATATCCATCAAGGTCTAGATATAAACTCATAATACCTTCAAATTTCAATCTATCTGACATTTTGACATTCATGGTTTACTATATCTAAACTCATGACAGTCTAGGGCTTACAACTCACACACACTTGCAGAGCACCATGAAGAATATAAATACGCCAAGCAACCAGATTATGATCAAATCTACTCAAGCAACCAGATTATGATCAAATCTACTCAATAAATTCATGATGCAGAGGAATTTTTAGTGAAGTCCTATCATGGCATAAAAAATGTGACAACAAAATCCAAAGAGAAGCTTGTCCAAAATTGAAAACTAGTGCCACCACCGAAGAACAATCAAGATCTCTAAATGAAAATTAATCAAAGCAAAACTTCTAGAAAACATAACATTTTCATCAACAGAGAAAGCTCAAGGTTAGCTGGAGAAGGAAACAGGACTTGAGGTTAATCTCAGATACCTGAGATCCTTGGCTAATCTTTTACCATCATCTCGGATTATGTGTTTACTCGATAACTCAATCCTCGTCTTCTTCATCTCCATCTCCACCAGCAGCCTTCTTGGCGGCTGCCTTCTGGTTCCTTCTCTTCACTCTTCCGGGGCGACCACCACCAAATGGACTAGTGAGAGAGAAGTCTATGTGCTTTTGAGAATCAACTCTCACCATGAAAGAAGGGATGTTAACCACCTGCCTCCCAACCCTAGAAAGACAGAATCGAATGAAATAATCAACAACATATGCTTCAAACGCTACATACATTTCAATAAGGAAGAGTATAGAAGTAATACAAAACAACACTAAGCTTACAATTTTGCATGCAGCAAACACCTAACAATGTCCAGGCAACAAATACGATCTTACAAAATTGGTATAAATCAAGTGGTTTCAGAGTACTTTATATACAAAGGAATGTTACTGCGATGCAACATCTAAAAGATTAGAGTGATGATAAAGCCATTCTACCTTATATGCTTTTGCCTGATGAGCACTCTAGCATGATGAATAGACTTCGCCATTCCAGACTTGAATACGAGGGTTTGAAGACGACGCTCAAGGAAATTCTCCACCGTAAGTGCCAAAACATAATCAAGCTTGTTTTGACTCTCATCCAAAAGTCCATACCTGTTCATCCTCCTAAGCAGAGCCTCTCCCTCAAAAATCCTACGCGGATTCTTTTCATCCAGAGTTAAAAGCATTCTTGCGTTATTACGGATTCGGCTCAATGCATATTGAACCCTCCATAGCTCCCTTTTACAACGAAGCCCATATTCACCTACAAGTTTAAGTTCTGCATCCAGACGCTCCTTCTCATAAGGACGACGAGGTTTCTTGAACGTCTTTCCATCTACATAATGACAGATCCCACTATTCAACAACCATGGCTCTCAGCAACCGCGCCAAGAAATCGGCATTATGTAAAACAACATTTTATAATAATAATAATGCAAAAGCCACTGTCATATTCTGATCTACATAAAATGAACTGAACAAAAATTTTGAAAGAAAACAAAATGGAGCAGAGAAACTGTCAAGCATTCATGAATTTAAAGCCTAGGAATTTGAGTCCCCATGATTTCTAATCCAACCCCCATGGCATCCCAACCATACGGTTCCTTATGTTCCAGCTAACCTAAGATTAACCAGGAGGCCTAACATGCGCGAAACACAACCAGAAGAAAAGTACCAGAGATAGAAGATCCAAACCTTAAGTGCATTAAAATGAAGCATATGAGTATGTATTGCAGATGCTCGAAGGCTCTATTAGGTGACAATGAATATACAATTCCGTAAAGTTATTGAATTTAAGAATACTCACAGTTCCTGTAGAAAGAGACGTGCACCATGTCTTCTTCTCCGCTCCGGCTTCAGTCCTCGCCGCGATCTCGATCGGAAACCCTAAAACACGAAAACGAAAAGCGCCGTAATGGAGGAAGGTTTTGTGGTGAATTTATATGAGATTTTAAAACCCCCGCTTTATGCTGTGAACCTGGCCCTGCGCCCTAGCCGAAGCTCTGGGCAGAGCATGTGATGGGCCCATTAACATATGGGCTTTCCAGTGAACCTATTATGAGTTTGTTTGGGCTTTACTACGTGATGGGCCCACTAATATTTGGGCTCATGAGTTTGTTTGGGCCTTTTGAATATTTAATCACGTGCGCTATAACCCACTCTTCGCAGTGCTTGTATATATATATATAATTTTAATTTGTATGTCGGTCAATTTTTTTATATAATTTGTTATTACTCTTATTTTATAATTCCTTCTCATTTATTCACAAATGATCTCTTAATTAACCATATATATCTTAATTAATGAAATTATAATAAGATTAACAAATTATACATAGAGACCTAATAAATAGTATCCAACTTGCACGCTACACATACATTTCCTATTTAAACCAGAATGAGAGATAAATTGGGAGAGATTTCTGCGTTATATAATTGGACCGGGGACGGGACGTGATTAGATTTTCCATTCTCGCTACACAAAAATTTCCTATTTAAACGAAGAATGGGAGATAAATTGGGAGAGATTCTACTCGTTAGATAATTGGGGTCGGGACAGGATTTGATTAGATTCTCCATTCCCGTCTCTATCCAATTTACTGACTCTATTAAATATGATATTTGAAAAATATATTTTAATAATTAATTATGGATATATATGGTTAATATTTTTTTTATAGTTAGGAGTTATGAGTAGTATATTTTATTTTAGATTTGATTAGCAATATATTTTATCTTATATACAACATTTAGTTAGTTATATATTCTCTCTCATTTTTTAGGTATTAGTTGATATTTTTTTTATGGTTGAAATTGTTAATAGTATATTTTATCTTAGATTTGATTAGCGTATATTTTATTTTATATACAAGATTTAGTTAGTTATATATTTTATGTCGTTTTGTAGGTATTAGTTGATAGTTTGTATTCTATTTAAACAGTTATAAACATGAATAAAGATCAGACTTTCGATCTTAGTTCTATTTCTATTTCTATTTTTTCGGGTATTAGTTGATAGTTTGTATCATATTTCAACAGTTATAAACAACATGAACTAAGATCAGACTTTCGATCCCAATTCTATTTCTATTTCTATTCTCAAGTGGCGCACTTCAAAGGGTTGAAGTCTTCGAAATTCAAATGGATTTTATGTTTTAAGTTCTAACGAGTTTAATGTCTTGGAGATGGGACGGGTCCCCGCCCCGATGACATTTCTATTATCAATCAAATCTTTATAGTTTTTCAAAGTAAACGAATGAAAATGAGATCAATACTTAGCTAGAATTAGGGACATGATGTTGCAAGTTCATAACATTTTATGCATAAGCCATCCTCTTACACATCATCAACGAGTTACAAAGTACACAATTCAATCAATATACGTAATCATCATCGAATATCATGTAATTGTTGTTCCTCCTCGGCCTATCTCTTTCGGACTGCTGCTAAATTTGGCAAACAAATTACGTCGTCAGGATCAAACACATAGTTAATATGTTAAATAAATGCATGAACAAACCTTGTGCATAAGCCTTTCGAAAGCTTCAGTTCCATGTTGTTCCATGTACTTCTCAGCAGCAGTTAAAACATCATCTGGGGCACTGAAAATTTCTTTGGTCTTTTGAGGAATATACCATAGCGTTGAAGTTTGTGGGTTCATATAGTATGGCCTAATGAAGTTTTTGTAAACGTGTGCTGCTCCATTGAAGTGTGGCAGCACCAACCAGCTCATTATTATCAGCTTCACGTAGGGCCAAACCGCAACCCTGGAACAAGAATTAACGTGTTAGGAACCACGACTCTTCGTAATGGTATGATATTGTCCACTTTGAACATAAGCTTTCATGGCTTTGTTTTGGACTTCCTTAAAAGGTCTCATACCAATAGAGAAAATCCATGATCATTTTCTAAATTGGCCATTGTGGGACTCCTTCCCAACAATCCTCCTCTCGAACAAAGTACACTATAGAGTCTCTCCTGAGGCATATGGTGGAGCCCTCGAACAACCTCCCCTTAATCAAGACTCGACTCCTTCTCTGGAGTTCTCGAAAAAAGTACACTATAGAGCCTGTCTTGAGGCCTATGGTGGAGCCCTCGAACAACCTCCCTTTAATCGAGGCTTGACTCCTTCTCTGAAGTCCTTGAACAAAATGCACCATTTGTTCAACACTTGAGTCACTTTTGACTACACGTTTAAGGCTCACAACTTCTGTGAGACCCCACATTAGTTGGGGAGGAGAACGAACACCTCTCACTAGCAAACACATTTTAAAAACTTTGAGGCGAAGCCCGAAAGAGAAAATCCAAAGAGAACAATATTTGCTAGCGATGGGCTTGGGTTGTTACAACTTCTTTGTTCGACATTTGAGAATTCTATTGATATGACTAAGTTAAGAGCATGACTCTGATACCTGATACCATGTTAAGAATCACGGATCTCCACAATAGTATGATATTGTCCATTTTGAGCATACGCTCTCATGGCTTTACTTTAGGCTTCTCTGAAAGACATCATACCAACAGAGATGTATTCCGTAAAACTCATGATCATTTCCTAAATTAGTCAACGTGAGACTCCCTCCCAACAATCTTAACATAGCCTACTTACACTTCTAGAACTTTGGCAAACGTGAGCTCGAAGAGAGTCATGAGTGAGTACAAAACCCAGTAAGTGAGCCATTGCTGATCATCCACAATTGACTTCGTCTCGATAGCCTTGATCGAAGCGTAACTATTATCAAACAAAAACAACCCATTGTAGCTGTGAATTCAAATAAGGTTAATACAAAATTACAAACCCATTGGTGACTTACAGTGGATACACCAGACAAACCACTGGCCTGCAAAGTTGAAAGCCAGAGATCAAAACAAGTTAAAGAAAGGGCAAATTTTGAAAGCAATGGAAGGAAGTAGAATGATTACAGAGCAAGAACATCGAAGTTGTTGGCCACGACTTGAAGAAAGTTCCCCGAACCCATGGCCTGCAAAATTGAAACTAGGCTTGTTTGGTGTGGAAGAAATGGGTGTGGCAATAAAGGGGAGGTTGATGGATAGAGAAAGGCGTAGGAGTAAAGTTTGTCAAAAAGGTGTTTTTGACAGTAGGGCTAATTGTCCGAGAATTATGGTACACGAGAAAAGAGGCACCGATTTTCAGTAGGCCAATGTACACTCTTACCACTCACTCATTGGCTTCAACGTCGAACATAGAGTTAGATAATATCATATCATTGTAGTGGTTCGATTCGTTGTTCTATCTGTTTAATTGGTTTGATGGTTTAGTTGGTGAATAAATGCTTGTTTTTATCTACGACAATTTGGGAGCAAGATGGAAATATCTTTGTTTGGTCAATGATCAACGAGATTTAGTGATGAAAAATATGTGGTGATGATGATGCCAAATATACGTAAGTGAGTATCAAATCAATAGGGTGACATTGATTAGGGCATAAAAATGATAGGTGAAGTATAGTGAAACGTAGAGCATATATTTTCCATTAATCAAAGTTTGTTGAACTAATGATACTCATAATAGCTTATGAAGTAGTTAGCAAAAGGGTTTGTTGGTAAAGTTAATATTTTTAAGATGATATGATATTTATGTATTTTTTAAATAAAAAAAGTATATTCGGCCCAGACAGAAGAATCACTTAGATATGATACAAAATGAGTTTTGTTCTATCGCTAATCATAGATTTTCTATGAACAATACGAGTCGAAGTTTTAAGAATGGGAAGGAGTCCACGAACGGTAACCCATAGAGGAGGATTTATGCAATCACATAGTTTGGGCTCCTAAAATATGGTGCCCTGTAGACCTTCTATTTGATTGAATCGAAATGCCAAATGAATTGGGATGTCCCTATTGGACTAGGTCATTTCAAGACAAACAGATCATTTTTTGTAAAGAAGAGTCCGAACAAAAAATGATTTTGACAAAGAGGTAGCTCGTTAAATAGAAAAACTTCAAAATCCCAACATTATCCTTCCCGTCTACAACTCATTGCTCCCTCCTTTCTTTAAGTTTTACCACGTTCATAAAAACTCCAAAACAATACGATCATTACTTTCTTATCAACCATACATCCATGTCAAAACATTGTATCCATTCCCAACGAGCATTTAGACTAATTCATGCCTCGAAAATACGAAATTTCAGATGTAGAAAGATACCAGAACTTAAAATTCTCCACATGAACAAAAAATAGATAGATAGATAGATAGATAGATAGATAGATAGATATAACATTCAAAAACCGAAAATACTCAGGTTGATATTCATTTATATGATGAAAACATAGGCAGATGCCGGCGGGGGGAACACAAGCCAAATCCAAGCCTTGTTTTTGGTAATCAAAAAAGCCTTAATTGCTTACCAAATCCATCGCAGCTACTATGATACTAAAGAACATTGCAGTTTTAATGAAAACTCATACACACAAACCGCAATAAACAACTATCACTCTTTTTTTTTGGTGTATTTACTCAGAAAATCAATCACTAAAAGAAAGAAATTAAAGAAAAAAGTATGTATTAGGATTGAAAAGCAGCAAGCATACATGTTTTTTTGAGATGTCTTGTGGGTCTAAGATTGATCACGATTTGAAGTGGAATCATGAGCTTCATTCCCACTTTGATGAACAGCCGCCACTCCTCTTGTCGGAGACTCTGACACTGACAATCCCGGCATCGTTCTATAAGCACTCAGCGCTGCTAACATCCCCAAGTGGGTGTCGGTGGCTGGACCGCCGCCACTGCCACCGATCCCGGAGCCCAACGGTTGGGCAGTTGGCAAAAGAGCCATTGGCGGTGGAAGATTCATGAAATGAAACCCGCCACTGCCACCAGCTGCAGCTGCTCCTCTGAACATACTGCTGCTACTCATCGACGGGAATGTCCACATCGGATCACTCGCTGGATTACTCGGATTCGTCATCATCCAAAATGTCGTCGGTACCGCCGTGCCGTGACTCGCTGGAATCGACCCGGAATTCGATTGAACTAAATAATTCCCGATTGGATTTTCCGATGAAGATTCCGACTGCTCCGGCCGCCGTTTTTTTCCCGCCTCAGTCAAATCAATTCCACCCTGATCGTGCTTGACATAGTTCGAAGAGTTGAAATTCAAGAATGTAGAAGAATCATCCACGAGAGCGTTACTCCGATCCCAAAGATCGGATCTTGTTCTGACGGCGAATTGGGTCGGGTTGAAATAGCTCGTTCGGAAGTGGGAAGGGGCGGAGATGGTGGAGCCGGAGCTACGAAGGGAAATATTAAGTGAAGTGAAATTCGCCGGAATTGTACCGGTTCCGGTAGCGGCAATTACGGCGGGCTCAGCTTGCTGTAGAAGCCACTCAATTGTTTCGCCATCGGACTTGTGGCCGAGTTCTCTAGTGAGCTGAAAAACCCTAGCAGCGCAAAGAGCAGGCATACGAATACGGCGACCGCGGCCGTCGACTTTGGTGTGGCGGTCTTTGGTGGTGGCCCTTTTGGGAGGGGGCTTGTTGGGTGAAGAAGAAGAAGAGGATTGAAGAATTGGAGTAGTGGTTGATGTTCCGTTGTTGGCGGAGGTGGAACAAGGGTGGTGTTCTTCTTTTTTCTCCAACAATTGTAATGGAAAATTAGGTCTTCGGATCCCATTTTCAGCGTCCATGATCATAAGCGTAGACTGTTTGTCTCTTTTTTTTGGCTACCAGTACATCTGTAGCTGACCCTTAGATCATATCACATAATGGCCTACTGGGTCTCTTTCTCTCTCTCCTCTCTCTCTCTCTTGTATTTGTGGAGCAGCATGGAATTCCTTTCAGATGGGAGCTGGCAGAGCTTTGTGTGTGTGTGTGTGTGTGGGTGTCTCAAAGTTTCCTCCTTTTTGATCCATACAAGAGTAAGAAAGAAAGAGAGAGAAGATATGGGAAGTGGGCAAGCTTTAAGCAACAAAAATAATAAGTGGGATTTCTGTGTCACCAATCACGACTCTCTATAATGATATGACATTGTTTATTTTGAGCATAATCTCTCGTGACTTTACTTTTAATGGAGATAATATTTCTTACGTGTCTGATGTATTGAACTATCTTTGGATCAGCTCTTTAAAAGGCGCACTGTGATGTCTCACATTGGTTGGAGAGAAGAACAAACCAGGGTGTGGAAACTTTCCCCTAAGAGACACGTTTTAAAGTCTTGAGGGGAAGCCAGAAAGGGAAAGTCCAAAGAGAACAATATCTGCTAACGGTAGATCTAGACTTTTACAAATGGTATCAGAGCCAGACACCGGACGATATGCTAGCCTTCTCGCTATTCCCCGAAGGGGGGTAGACACGACGCGGTGTGCCAGTAAGGACGCTAGGCCCTAAAGGGGGTGGATTTGGGGGCGGTCCCACGTCGATTGGAAAAAGAAAAGAGTGCCAGTAAGGACGCTGGACCCCGAAGGGGGGTGGATTGTGATGTCCCACATTGGTTGGGGAGTAGAACAAACCACCATTTATAAGGGTGTCACATTGGTTGGGGAGTAGAATAAACCACCATTTATAAGGGTGTGGACACCTTCCCCTAGCAGACGTGTTTTAAAGTCTTGAGGGGAAGCTCAAAGAGGACAATATCTATTAGCAGTGGATTTAGGTCGTTACATGCATGGAGTATTCCTTATAAGCGTGTGGAAACCTCTCTCTAGTTGTGACACTACGCAACGGGTCAAAGTGGATAATATACTGAGCAGTGTGCCAACGAGGACGGTGGGCTCCCAAGAGAGGTGGTTTGTGAGACCCCATATCGATTGGAGAGGGGAACGAAAGTTCCAAGGGGTGGATTCCACATCGGCTGAAGAGGGTCAAACCCAATTTAAACTCATGATCTTCCTTCCAAGGGGTGGATTCCACATCAGCTGAAGAGGGTCAAACCCAATTTAAACTCATGATCTTCCTCTCAACCGTTTGATACGTGAACACGAAAACCGGGTGTGAAATTAGGGTTGTGTAATTGAAAAGGATTAGGTAGGATTCAATGTTCATTCTTGGAGATCATAGTTAATATGAAGACATAAGGATATAGTGGGATGGGTCCCACAAACAGGCAAGTCAAAAAACTAATAATTCTAGAGAGAGAGAGAGATAGAGATAGAGATAGAGAGAGTGACTGTTAAAAGGAAGTTCATGAATTATCTAAATAACATGATGCATGTGGCTCCCATATCATTCCTATCATCATTGACATAATTTGCAATTGACACCCTTTTCCCTTTTCACTTTGCCTCTCAAGGGCTTCACCTTTCTCGTATTTCCCCCGTCCCCTCCTCTTTCTCTTCTTTTTGGAGCCCGACACGGTTAACAGTGAGCTTGAGATATTACAAATGGTATCAGAACCTCAAAAGGAGTGGACGCAAGGGACGGATCATTTGAACATGAAAGGGCGAAGTTAAGAGAGTATATTTGGTGATTCATATAGATTAAGAAGTGGCAGTAACATTGTTTGGGGAATCAAAGAAAGTGCATGGAGTTGAATCGAAAGGCGATGGGACAGGATAATCCTTTACCTTTTCTTATTATTGCTGTTTTTGTTCAATAAATTTTCTATCTTTACTTTTGAGCCATACGTAAACTCGGCTTTTCTCTCACTCATCTCTCCACCATCCAATTTGCCTTCTTCTTTTTAAGTGATTCGATGGAGGGTTTTCACTCTTCACAATCCTTCTTTTCATAAACACTTCATTTTTAGGATGACATTATTTCTACTGCTCTTCACCTCTATTTTAAGTAAAACACTTATGAACCCATCAAAGTTTGACTAGAACGAAACATTTTTTTTTTTGTAAAGGGTGGAAATCTCTTCTTATTCGTACTAGACACGTCTTAAAACGGTGAGACTAATGGTGATAAATAACAGGCCAAAGCGAAAAATACCTCCTAGCGGTGGGCTTAGGTTGTTAGAAATGATATAGAGCCCGACACTGGGTGGCTCGTTGGCCCACAAGAGGATGAATTGTTAGGGTATAGAGCCAGACACTGGGTGGTGTGCCAGCGAGAACGCTGGCCCACAAGAGGGTGGATTGCTAGCGATGAGTTTAGGCTGTTACAAATGGTATTAGAGCCAAACACTGAGTGGTGTGCCAGTGAGGACGCTGGCCCACAAGAGGGTGGATTGTTAGCGACAAGTTTAGGCTGTTATAAATGATATAGAGCCTGACTCTGGGTGGTATGCCAGCAAGGACGCTAGCCCACAAGAGAGTGGATTGCTAGCGATGAGTTTAGGCTGTTACAAATGGTATTAGAGCCAGACACTGGGTGGTATGCCAGTGAGGACGCCGGCCCACAAGAGAGTGGATTGTTAGCGACAAGTTTAGGCTGTTATAAATGGTATAGAGCCAGACTCTGGGTGGTATGCCAGCAAGGACGCTGGCCCACAAGAGAGTGGATTGATAGCGATGAGTTTAGGCTGTTACAAATGGTATTAGAGCCAGACACTAGTTGGTGTGCCAGCGAGGGCGCTGGCCCACCAGAGGGTGGATTGCTAGCGACAAGTTTAGGCTATTACAAATGGTATAGAGCCAAACTCTGGGTGGTATGCCAGCAAGGACGCTGGCTCACATGAGGGTGAATTGCTAGCGATGAGTTTAGGCTGTTAGAAATGGTATAGAGTCAGACACTGGGTGGTGTGCCAGCAAGGACGCTAAGCCCCCAATGGGATAGATGGTGAGATCGCACATCAGTTGGAGAGAGGAACAAAACATTCCTTATAAGGGAGTGGAAACCTCTCCCTACTAGATGCATTTTAAAACTATGAGGCTAACGGCGATACATAACATGTCAAAATGGACAAATGGTATCAGAGTCAGATACTAAGTGGTATGCATTCGAGAATGCTGGCTTAGAAGAGAGTGAGTTGTGAAATCCCACATCAGTAGGAAAGGGAAACGAGCATTCCTTATAAGGGGTCGAAACCTCGATACATAACGGGTCAAAACGAACAATATCCGCTAGTGGTGGACTTGAACTGTTATAAATGATATTAGAGCTAGACACCAGACGGTACCGTCAAAGTGGATGTTTTGATATTACTTAGGATTCCCATATCAGTCAGTGGACAAACTGAATGAAGCTCAACTATTACCGGTGGTTGCTTGTTGGAGAGATGAGCAAATTTTGAGGTCCCTATCTTGGTAGCGAGGCAGTGCGTTGAAGAGTTAATGTTATGTGTGAAGTGTGGTCCTTAGAAATATCTTAAATGCTTTACGTGCAAAGTGTTTAGATTTTGAATGAATTGTAGTTTAGTTTTTGTCATGTTGTTGGTGTTATTCAATATATCCCAATTTGAAAATCACACCAAAGTCAGCAGAGTTGTTGGGCAGAACGCTTCTTCTCTTTCCTTTCCTTTGTACTATGCATATTGATCTGCAGCTTTGAATATATTTCAGTTTGAATTCAGATACATCAGCTTTATTCAGTTTTTTAATCACTGTTCTAACAGTATCTTCCCTTAGATCTCATGAGATTACATTTCCTACCATATACAATAGCTAAGATTCCACCCACTTACGTACGGAAACCTCTCTAACATACGCGTTTTAAAATCGTGAGATTGATAGTAATACATAACAGACTAAAGCGGACAATATCTTCTAGCGGTAGGCTTGAACTTTTACAAATAGTATCAGAGCCAAATATCAGACAGTGTGCCAATGAGAACTTCGGGACTCTAAGGGGGCTCGGCTATAGAGGGGAACAAAACATTCATTATAAGGATGTGGAAACTTCTCTCATGTTAGCAGTGAGTTTAGACTTTTATAAATGGTATCAGAATTAGACACTGGGCAGTGTGTCAGTGAGGACGTTGGATCCTTAAGGGGGGTCGATGGATTGTGAGATCTCACATCGGTTAGAGAAAGGAACAAAGCATTTCTTATAAGGATATGGAAACTTCTCCCTTGTTAGCAGTGAGTTTAGACTTTTACAAATGGTATTAGAACTAGACATCGGGCGGTGTGTCAGTGAGGACGTTGGATCCTTAAGGGGGGTCGATGGATTGTGAGATCTCACATCAGTTAGAGAAAGGAACAAAGCATGAACACTATACTCCTAAGAAGGTGGATTGTGAGATCCCACATCGGTCAGACTATTTGTTACAGGATAGAAGAATCGTGTGCGAGAGAAAAGCCGACGCAGAATTCGATCCAACACCAAACGCACAGAAGGGCAAAGACCCATGTGGCTAATATTCTAAAATGTAACATAAAAAGGAGACACCATAAAGGGAAAAAAAACAACAACAAAAGAAAGGAAGTGTGACATGATAATATTACATTCCAACAACTAGCAATGAATGAATGATAAGCAACTCAAATGATGAGCAAGTCAATTTAAGAGACTAATCATAAGATTAAACAACTTCCATTAAGGATAATCCATGGGAAGAAGAAAGGAGCAAGTGGGATATGTTAGAGACAGTTTGCTAATATTAAGGAACATGGTTTGGTTTGGTTTTGTTAGTGTTGTTGTAAGGTGTAGTGTACTTTGCAGAAGAGTTTTGGAGTGGTTGAACAAGAAAGATATGATTTTTATTATAATTTGGGGCATTAACACCAAAAGGCTTTGTCTCATGCATTGTCACTATAGGCAACGACATAATCACGTTGGGTGTGGATACAAACCTAAAAAGGACTCATCACAATCATGCTGTCTGTGAAAAAACCAGCTACCTCTTCCTCCCTCATATTAATTTCTGCCTCACAACACCTTTCTTTTTCCTTTTTTCTTCATAAAGCTGCCTTCTCCTAACACATTTTTACCTTTTCCTTTTCCTTTTCTTTTTTTTTAATCTATCCTAATCGACACTCATTACAACGATGTGTAAAGAAGAGCATCTCTTTTCTAGGAAAAATTATGCATTGACCCACGATCAACTGACGTGACAT